GATTATAATAACCATCGCAGTCGTCATGGTCCATTAGTCCTGGAATCAGTTTCGCTATCGAAAGACAAATATGCTGATCAAAATGCTATTCGAGAAGGGATCAACAGAACTGTTCTTTTGACTTTACATACTAACTGAATTAGGTGATTGGACTGACTGCGTGAATTAATGCTTTCATACTTTGACCCACATTCGACGTAAAGCATTCTGAAGTCGTACTGACTAAGGATATGAAATGAAAATGCGCCAAAATCGCAAAGAACGAAACAATCGCAAAGTTGTGGTCATGAGATCTCTGAACGGAGCGGAAGAAATTATTTTATACACGGTTTAAGTTTGCTACTTTGAGCGTTTTTTGCTTTTCGTAATTGTTTTTGTTCCTTTACTTATTTATTCTTTGTTTGCTTGTATTGTTTACAAAAGTGCCGTTGTTTACAGAAGTGCCGTTCTCTGGGCAGAACAAGCTGTTGCAAAAGAATAACCTTTTCCTTTAACGGATCCACTTCATTTCCGAAAGATGCCAAATTACAATCTTTGACAGAGTAGGAAAGATGGAAGCTTCGTTTTGACAGTGGAGTTGAAAGTTCATTGCTTAAAGGACGTCACGACATACTACATCGTCAAAGCGGGATAAATGCATAAATAACATAACGCTGATGGTTTATAATTTTGGTTACATACACGGTGATTAGAATAAATACGGGAGATATCAATGATAACTGAATCAAAACTGAAACAGTGCCATAGGGAGCTTCCGAGTAGTGCTGACTGACAGCCTCTCCATGTCTTATGGTTCGCCTTGAAGCTGGTACAGTGGATCTTCGGTTCGCGAAACATTTCGGTTCGAAGAGATCCGTTGAGTTGAGATGATCTGATGGATGCACTTCGTGACTGGCACCAGGCAACACTGTCGTGAACTGGATAGTTTGGTGTTTCCAGAATCTTCGTGGCCATTTTTATACTTTGAATGGCAGCACAACTGGCTACACATACTGTAAGATCTCTGAAGAGCAAGCCTTGTAGTTTGGAGACTATACTTAGTGACCTCCTGATAATCTTAGAGTCACACGCATACCGCCCGAAGAATATGACAACAGTGGCATACGTATGGAGGAGATACACGCGACTATTAAGTTCTTTATTGCATATCACTGCGCTTAAAGTTCCTTCGAAAGATCGCTCCAATGTACTCTAGTAGAATCAGTCGCAAATTTTTTGCACCTATGTGATCCTCACACAAGTGGAACGGGAGTACGGTTTTTGTATGTGCTTATTACAACTTTAAAACGCTTACAACGTTTCGTTTGTAAATACGAATGAAATAACACAGAATTACTTTACTTAATTTCCAATTATATCATGCGATATTTGTGACTAATACTGTAGCCGTATTCCGCGGTCGGGAAAATCTATACGGTGCTTACCGCCAGTCCGCGCTTGTCTCAAATTCACTGAGATCTGTGTACTGCATGACTGTTATTTAGAAATGTCAGAGGATCGTTCGAAACAAACGGCGTCAACCCCCGCCCCGGCTCCCGTCACTCACCAACTGTTTATGGAAAAGGAATTGGCGGAAGAAGCGTTAAAAAATGCTGCCGCAAAGGAGTACGACGCCTTCGAGACTGCTGCACGAATTCCGTTTACCTCCGCTACACTGAATGATCGTCAGCCAACGGCTTTGTCAGAGACGACGTCGCTGAAGAGCGCAAACGAGTCACCGGAGGTCGTCGTACCTGCCTCGAAATCCCACGACTCCGGTATGATCGAAATG